GTCTCAGCCCTGGCCAGCCAGCCGCCAGTGAATACCCCTCGGGTATTACCAACACATCCCAGTCTCCGTGACCAAAACACGAGCCCTGCCTTCCAGGGGCTTTCAGTTCATGTGGGAGGCCAGCCACGTACAGGCCTGAGTAGACCTCACAGGCCTGCCACCTTGATGAACCTCACTGCTCTGACCTGGCCGAGCAGGCACAGCTAATGGCGCGGAGGTGGATTTGGCCAAGCCTGGTTTTGTGCTCCTCCAGGGTCTCCTGCAATTCAACATGGTGGCTTGGGGTGGGGCGAGAGAGGATTCAAGAATGGCTCCCCACCAGGAGGGGTGGCTGGTGCAGACCGGGCTCCACTCACATCCAGCACTGACTAGGAGGCCCTGCCTGTTTCCCTCTAGTGGGCCTGGGTCCTGGAGGATGAGGGAGGGAGAGGGGACCCCAGCCACTTCCTCCCAGGATCCTCGCCCAACACCCCCAGCCCTGTGCTGCTGCCCACGTGGTCTCTCCCCCATGGCTCTCATCACATTGCAAAGGCACAATTCTGTGTGATGATTCCTCCCTGGGCTCCACACCACGTGGCCTCGCACCTGGCCCAGTCCCCAGCACACTGTGGAGCTTGATATGTTGACTGAATTAGTGGCTATGCCATGCTCTGGAATCGGGCAGGGGGAAGAAATGAGCCAGGCCCACGACAGCGTCCCAGTGGAAAAGTGCAGAATACTACAAAAGCAGTAACCAGATTTAAAGTCGGGGGGTATCTGGGAAGGGCCCCCTGAGGACAGGAGATTTGAGCTGAGCTGAGGTTTGAGGAATGAATTCGCTGAGCAAAATGTGGTTTGGGAGGCTGGGGAGAGAAGGCTTTCAGGCAGAGGGAAGTGGGGGAAAGGCTTTGCAGTGGTCAGGGGGCTGAGGGGGGCAGTGTGGACAGCAGATGGGCGGGGAGCAGGTGCTGGGACTCCATGTGTCTGGAGCAGGGAGCAGCAGCAGAGAGTGAGCTCAGGAGACCTTCCACACATTCCTTCAGCAAACACCTGCTAGGCACCCACAGTGTGCCAGGCACCGTGCCGGGACTTACAGGCCACTTTAAGACTGTGGCTCCGGATCCTAGAAGCAGGGGATCACCCCAACAGCCATGAGCCACCCAGGCCAGAAGAAAAGGAGACATCAGCCATGGGGCTTCAAAGTCTAGAAATGACAGCAACCGGCATCTTACAGGATGTGGGCAGGGCTAGAGAGACGGTCAAGAACAGCCTGGGGGTCAGGCCTGAGCAGCTGGGAAGCTGGAAACCATCCTCATCCCAGATCTGGGGGAGGGGACAGAGCACAGTGGTGAAGGGGAGAGCTCTTTGCCATGTTAAAGTCCAGATGGCTCAGAGCCCAGAGCAAGGCCAGGCAGTGAGGTGTTTACGTCCACTGGCACCAACCACAAACCAGACAGGCGGACACCAGCCAAGCCCCAGTGGATGAGAACTTTGAGCTCCCCAGGACTCCGAAATGAAACCATGGAACCAAGCTTATTATGAAACCAATCTCTGAGAAAATGGGACGGGCTAGGTGCTTAACAAAGTAACGCTCACTCTCCCTTCTTTCTGAACAGCCGGCAGCCATTACATTAAGTTTCCATTTCAAATGGATTTCCTGCCAGTTACACATTTGTCTCCTCCCCTTCTGTACAACACGGGAAATAACACGGGTGAAGTGCGGGGCTGGGAAGAGAGAGGGTGCTGCAGCCAGGTAGGAGCCTGTGTGAGTGTGCACACACCAGGACCGCAAGCAACTTCACTCACTGCCAAAAGCAAAACCCCACGTGCAGTCTAATTTCAGGGCTCCACCTAATTACCAAGCGTCACACTTCTAAAGAGAGTGGAGGCTGCACAGGCTCAAGCTGGCAGGATCCTTAAATACTCTCACTTCTCAGGCACTAAAAGGAGGCATCAGCTGCATGTCTCGGCTTTGAGAGAGTCATTCTGTAAGAGCAGGCACGTTGATGCTTTTGGAAGAGCTTATGAATCACACCCTGCTTTGGAACAGTGCACAGAGGGACCCCAAGCAGTCCATGAAGCCACAATGCAACGAAGCTCCCTTCTCAACCTTTGTAGTTTAAGTGGAAAACCCAATGCTTCTGACAAAACTGTCTGATTTAAACGTTCTCACTTGCAAAAAAAATAATAATGATTTTAAAAGGAAATACGACTCTCACTTATTTGCAAAGCACTGTATGAGCTGCTGCATGCACCCTGTGCCCCAGCACCTGGGACCGGCCCCGGACTGGGCAATCACCTGCAGGAAGAGTGGAGGGGCCAGGTGTCCTCAGCCCCTGACGTGGTTTCCACCCTGCACCCCTTGCTTTTTCTTTTTTTTGCCACCCAGACTGGAGTGCAGTGACACGAACTCAGGTCACTGCAACCTCTGCCTCCCAGGTTCAAGTGATTCTCCTAGCTCAACCTCCTGAGTAGGTGGGATTACAGGAACAAACCACCATGCCCAGCTAATTTTTGTATTTTTAGTAGAGACGGGGTTTCACTATGTTGGTCAGGCTGGTCTTGAACTCCTGACCTCGTGATCCACCTGCCTCGCCCTTCCAAAGTGCTAGGATTACAGGCGTGAGCCACCTGGACCGGCCCCCACACCCTTTTCTTTTCTTTTTTCTTTGAGACCAAGTCTCACTCCATCACCCAGGCTGGAGTGCTGTGGCATAATCTCAGCTTACTGCAACCTCCGCCTCTCGGGTTCAAGCAATTCTCTGCCTCAGCTTCCCAGATGGGATGACAGGCGCATGCCACCACGCCCAGCTAATTTTTGTAATTTTTAGTAGAGAAGGCGTTTCACCATGTTGGCCGGGCTGGTCTCAAACTCCTGACCTCAAATGATCTGCCCACCTCATCCTCCCAAAGTGCTGGGATTACAGGTGTGAGCCACAGCGCCCAGCCAACTGTTCTGTCTTTAAGAATTTTAGGCCCCCGCGAGGTGGCTCACGCCTATAATCCCAGCACTTTGGGAGGCCAAGGCGGGTGGATTACGAGGTCAGGAGTTCAAGACCATATTTCACATGGTGAAATATGGTGAAACCCTGTCTCTACTAAAAATACAAAAATTAGCCAGGCGTGGTGACGCGCGCCTGTAATCCCAGCTACTCAGGAGGCTGAGGCAGAGAACTGCTTGAACCCAGAGGCGGAGGTTGTAGTGAGCCAAGATGTTGCCACTGCACTCCAGCCTGGGCGACAGAGCGAGCCTCCAAATCTAAAAACACACACACACACACAAAAAAAACCAAAACAAAACAAAAGAACAACAGTGGTCCTCAGCTTTATAAACACCTCCCTTAGCTAATGGGAAGGCCAGGATGTCAAGGGACAGCCAAGGAAGACACATCAGCAGCCCAGGCTTGATACAGACGAGTCAGCTGGAGGCGTGGGCTAGGGGCAGGCAAACGAGAGGAGGCGTGGCCGCTGTGTGTCCGTCAGGACCTGCTAGGGGCAGGCCCACTGGAGGAGGCGTGGCCGCTGTGTGTCCATCAAGATCTGCTAGGGGCACGCCCACTGGAGGAGGCGTGGCCGCTGTGTGTCCATCAGGACCTGCT